GCGTCCCAGCCCGGCCGGCTGCGCCTCCCCCTCCCGGCGCCCGCCCCCGCCTCCGAGCCGCGCCGCGCCCTCGCTCTCTCTTCTCGCGCTCCCTGCCCGGGGGGCTGCGAGCCGGGCGCCGATCGGTCTGCCCCGGTCAGCGGCAGCAGCTCGCGGGGCGCGGAGCCCACGCGGGGCCGGCGGGCGGCGGCAAGAGTCTGAGCCGCGCGCCCCTCTCGGTCCTCGGCCCGCGCCCGGCTGGAGCCGCCGTGGAAACATGGTGTTGGAGCAGGAGGACGGTAGGTGCCCGGTGCGCGGTGCCTGTGCGCGGGGGCTTGGGGACGCGGGGCGGAGGCGGCGGTGCGAGCTTCGCTGAGACCACCTCGCTCCCCGCGGCAGCGCCCCCGGCGCCCGTCCCGCCGCTTCCCGGAAGCTCCGTGGCTGGATGTGTGCGCGGGTGTGTGTGTTGGCGGTGCCAGGCTCAGCTCCCGGCGTCCCTCATCGGGATTAGGAAGTCTCACCCGCCTTTTGGAGCCCGCCAGCCCCACACGCTCGGGCCGGGAACTTTCTCACTGGCTCTTGTCGCCTTGCAGGCATCCGGAGCTCCCCATGCGACCCGCGCCGCGGGCTTCCCGGTAGTACCCTCTGCCAGCCATTCTCTGGGCCTCCCCTGCTACTTGCATGTCCCCTTCTTGCACCCTAATGCGGAAAGGGCCCTCAAGGGGATGCCCAGAGAACTTGAGGGCGGGGGGACGAGAATTCAGTCAAACCGCATGGTCCTGGGGTGCCTCAGGTCTAAGCACGCCATAGCCGCAGGACGGGTGATATTGCCTCCGCCCCTGCGGGGCTAGGGAAGATGTTTGTCATTAGTTCACTCAGCCTGTGTTGGGAGGTGTCTCGAAGGCTAGATGGGGCACCAGAAAGCTCAAAATACTAGATTCAACCAGAGACAAATTTCCCTTGAAGCTAACGAAGTTAGGCGTCCTTAAGGTCAATTCGTTGCCAGATCTCTGGTAGTAAATTTGTATTAGTAGTCTCATATTCCTTTTCTCAAAGAGCCTCCACCCCAAACTGCAGTAAGCTGCAGGCCTCACAAAATCTGGATCCACACCTGGGTCCAACTGGGAGGAACTCAGCTCTAGCTGGCAGGTGGACCATCCCAAGGGGCTGGGACAGTCTCTTAGTGCCAGGAGTGTGAAGTGACTGGGCAGGAGGCTGGAAACACGGGGTTATGAGGCAGCTGTGGGTCAATAGGGAAAGGGTCTAGCTGCTAGGCCTTCTTCTCTAACCCCATTAATTCCTGGTCCCTACCCTACCACCTCCCTGTGGTGATCAACTAACCTGGTTTACCCAGGGCTGTCTGGTTTTAGCACTGAAAGCCCTTTAACATAGGAAACTCCTCAGCCCCAGGACAAAGTTGGATAGTGGGTCAGCCTATACTCTGGACTGTCTCAGGGTTCAAGGGCAGGAGCAGGGTAAACTTGCTTTCTGAGGTGCAGATTTGACTTAGGCCTCCACCAGACCTAACAGTTGTGACTGCAGTTTCTGAGAAGCCTGTCTGGTCTCTCTAGAAACCAAAAGAGGGAGTTTGCCGACTGTGCACTTCTCCGCTTTAGCTGGTTGCTAATTCCTGTGCATTCTCTGCTTTTGTGTACTGCTTTTGTGTGCCGAGGGGGCAGGGAAGAACATCTGAACTTGGACAGCAGGTATCCTGATTGCACTGCAGAGACTGTATATTCACTTTCTCTATAAACTGTAGGGGCCACAGGGAGGGAGCCCTTGTCAGCCTGAATACCTCTCCAAGTGTCATCTGCAAGGACAGTCTGTAATCCCATTTTGGAGATCGTTTCACTGTGCTGAGAGTATGGCCCTCAGGCTGAGGCATATCTGACAGCCTCTGCTCAAGAGTTCTGGAGTATCGAGTCAGCCAGGGCCCTCAGGCCTGAAGTCCTATTATCCTCCATCCCCAATGCAGAGAACCCTTTCCAGGACCTTTCTGCCAAATACAAGGACAAACTGCTGGGGATCTGCCCAAAAATTTGTAAGGCAGCTAATAGCACTCCCTTCTCTTTGAAGTAGCCTTGGGGATGATCAACTGGTGTCACTCTGCTGTCTCCAGAGGCATTTCAAGGGCATTTTGGAGCACTCTTAGCATGTTGAGGTGAGAGTACACGCTCATCACCTGTGGAATGTGTTGGGTAAAAAACTGCCTCTTCCAGCCCCAGGGGATGTGAGAATTCCACTCCAGGGTGGTAGGTGTGTTGCTGGGCCTCACCTGGGTGAGCACAGGGTGGGACTCAAGCTATGAGCTGGAAGGAGGTTGCCCAATAAGTGAGGTTCCTGTCAGCAGGCCCCTTCCTAGCCAGGCACTACCCTCTGAGATTTGCTGGGCAGCTCTGTAAGCCAGCTATGGAGACCCCTCTCCAGATAATGTTGGGAGCGCCATGCTCACAGCTGGGATACAGAGAGAGCCACCTGTGGGTACAGTGGCCCTCACACACAGCACCAATCTACTGCTAATGTGTCCTACCTGCTCTGCAACCTATTACTCAACACCTCAGGCTTGGGGCAGAGGGCTCATAACTCCCCAAAGTCATGTGGCTGCTCACTGGGTATCTTGGGGGCTGGGGTGAGTTGGTGTGGGGGGAAAAAGGCCCAGATACAACTGCTGGGCATGAGAGTGGTAAAGTGGCCCTTGCTAATCGAATCCTGATTTGTGGGTCCCAAAAGTGAGGAAAGGTGGTCCTTGGAGGTCAGGAGCCAGGCAGTAGCCCATATGGAGTGAATACTTCAGGTAGCACAGAGGTTTGTGAAGCAAGAAGCTGCCCTTGCCAGGTCCAGTGCTTGCCACACTGACTGGCCCCCAGCCCAGGCCAAGGTAGGAGGGTGGCACCAAATGTGCAGGTGGTAATGGTGTTAAAGCCTCCCTCAGACCTTCAGGGCACAGCTCTGGCTGCAGTGTCAGGGGAGAGATCAAGCTTGCAGTCCTAAGGGATGGGGAGTCTGAGCAAAATGATAGATTTAACATCAAATATACTCAAGGACTATTAGGATTAAGTATTCAAGACGAAGGGGAAAGTGAAACCCTCTGAGCCTTGGATGAGGCCTCTCACTAGAAGCAACCTTACTCCTGATTCCTCAAAGACTGACTTCCTCGCCTAGGAGGGAGGAATATGGGCTCCAGCCCCACCCCCATTCTTAACCCCTGTCAAGAACTGGGGCCTCCCAAGATATGAGGGGCAAGACCTAACCTCCAGGTCTCCTTTACCAGATTACCCCTTCCACACACATGCACATACACATTGTTCAGAGCACCACAGAGCCTTTCTCTCATCTGATCCCCATAGCAACCTTAGAGACAATGGAAAGAGTGGGTCTCCTACTTCACAAATAGGGAAACTGAGGCCCAGAGAGAGAAAGTGACTTGCAGATCCCGCCATTCGTTAATTGGCAGGGAAAAGATAGAGATCCATCTGGTGGCCATCCAGGGACTTCAGCTCCTTCTCTACTTGCCTGGGTCTCCTCCTCAGAAGCAACTACCAGGACCACACTTCCCACATATCTGTTTGAAGCCCTCCTTTGGCTGGAGAAAAACATTTCCTCACCATCCTGGAGCTCTGTACTGTCTGGGGTGGGAGGAAACTCTTGGGACTTAAAGTAGGTGGCCTTCCTGGAGTAGGCACCGTGGGCACCAAGTCCCAGGGCTTTGGAAAGAGGCAGGGTTCAGGAGGAGAGGAAATGGACACTGTCTCCCTTTCTGCCTTATGAATTACAGAGCAGGAAATGTCAGCTCCATAACAGTATCTTTGTTTTGTTCTCTGCTGTATCTCCAGTGCCTTAGAAGAGTGCTTGGCACATAGTACATGCTCAATAAATATTTGTAAGAGAAAAGCCTTCAAAGCCATGCTGTGTTTGCTCAAAGAGAAAACCAGACAGGTTCCCCTCTGTGTCTAATCAGGATGCTCTTAGGGGCCTCTGGGGTCAGGGGTAGTAGTGCAGGACTCACAGTAGGAGGGTTTTTTTCTCTGCAGAGGGCTAACTTTGAGTGAACAATCGGGAATCATCCAGAAACCCCAAGCAGATCTAGTAGAAAGAGGCGGTATCAGAGAAATATCGCTCCTGTGAGGAAGCAGAAATCAAGATCAAGAGCCTGGGAGTAACAGACCGGGGTCTTCCACCAGTCATCAAACACCAAGACCCAAGGACCCAAGCGGAGCTACGCGCGGAGCTGGGGCCGAGAAGACTCCAGGTGGCGCTGCGGAGCCGGGCAGCCGCGCGTCTCCACTCCCCATTAACCCGGGAGGGAGGGGGGCCTCGGGAAATGTGTGCATTTATTCAGTAGCAGGAGTGCAAACCTCATACATTGAGGGAGAAAGACAGCGGGAGACGGCCGCCGAGATTCCCCCATCTCTTTGAATATAATTTTAGATTGAGATTCAGATTAAATCCGAGGGGAAAACACTTTATGAGGCTGAAAGCTGTGTCGTTGCCAGAGACAGGGTTATGAGCTATCAAATGCAATTACATTAAGACAGATTATACTGGGCAAATTGAGCCATTTAGAAGGTGAGAATCAAAGAAACGGCTCTGATCCTCTCTTCCCCCTTCTCTCTCTCCCTCTCCCTCTCTCTCTCTCTAAATTGCAGTTCGTAGTTCCTTGCAATTCTGAGGCACAAAAGTAGGTGAGACTGCTTTTGTATCTGCGAAGTGCTTCACTCCTGAATGTAATTCTAGCTGAGTGCAATCTAGGTTAAGAGCCGGACAAGCGGGTAATTAGAGCCCGCTCGCTGCCCGAGGACCGGCCGCCCTGCCGAAGCGCGCCCAGAGTCGGCGCCTTTTTCCCGGCTGAGCCGAGCTGCGGCTGGACACGGAGCGCCCGAGATGATGGTGCTGGACAAGGAGGACGGTAGGTGGCGGGCTGGGGTCCCGACGCTCTCCACCCCCTCGCCCCCGCCGCGGCGCGCGGGAACACACACAGCGCACACACGCAGGGCTGTGCGGGATTGCCTAGCCCGCGGCGTGCAACGGGTTGGGGCCGGGTGTCAGAACAGGGTTGGGATGATCGAACCCGGGTCCGCGCGCCCCGGGGGCCCGGAGCTGGTGAGATGTGAGCGGGCAGTGTGATGCGCCGCGGGGCCGCGTGGAGGCTCCGGCTGCCCTGCGATCTCCGCACCGTGGCGCCTTGCGTTGAGCATTTGGTCTCTGCGGCTGCTCCTCACACCGCAGCCGTCACCTTCGTGCCCGCCGCGTAACCCCAGAGGCGCTGAGCTCCGAGCAAATCAGCGGCTTGGGGGGAATCCTACTCCAGAGCTTGGGGCGAGCCGCAAGCGCGGGGAGGACTGGCGCGAAAGCCAGGATGCCCGGCACGTGAGGGGAAGGCCAGCTGGGTCCTCCGGGGGACTGCTGCCCATCAGCGTGACTGGGTGAGAACAAGAAATGCCTCCTGTGCTGGCCCACTACCTCCCTTACTCCCTGGGCATTGGGGCGGGAATTTGGCCAGAAGAAGAAAGTGGCCTACCACCCAGCCAGTGGCCCTAGAGCAGGAGTGGTCTTTGAGAGTGAGAGTGACTGGACCTTCCGTGCTCAAGAGCCGGGTCCACCCAGAAGACCGCAGGGCTGAGAGGTCAGAACACAGGAGCCCATGGCTGCTGGAACCAGTAGCAGGTGGCCCCATAGACCCCAAAGTCTTCCTGGGTGCTAGTGCTTTGCAGCAAGTGTCTATACCAGCCCCCTCTCCCCCTTGAGGGTAAAATGCACTGTGACCTAAGATAGGCCCCAGGGTTTGAGAGTGATGGTTTCGCAGCAGTCTCAGGCCTTTGGGCCCTGTAGGTGAGCCTTGTGAGATTTGTGGGTGCTGTAGGGAGAGTCGGACCTGATTGCTGGCCTCTGTCGCTGATTCGGATGTGAAAGGTGGGCTCTGTGGGACTCAGCAGTCAACCCCAGGTGTGACTGTGGTAGCCACCCTCTGCTCAAGGGGGGCATTGATGATATTGGTGTGGTCATTGGTGAATATTCAAAGTTAAGTGACTTGCTCAAGGTCACACAAGATGTTCACTTCTGCTTCTGCATGTGGGTGCTCCTGCCTACTTATTCTTTCCTTCTGAGGCAACTGCAGGAAGGGGCAACTTTAAAGGGTCTGGCCTGGGGGTTAGCATGCAGCGGAGACCTGGGACTGGTAGCCTACAAAGGCCAACTCTTGCCACACATGTAGGAAGAGGAAAGAGGGGAAGTAAATCCTTCTGTGCTGGCTGGAATGTGACATCTTTGTTCAGTACACTCTTCTTTATTCAAGGACCCTCCCTTAGAACCCCAAGAAGACCTGGGACTGGGCTTGTGAAGTTTTATATAGAATGAAAAGAACGAGTCTGGCCACACAGGGAGGAAGGAGGACTTGAATTGGTTCCATTCATCACTAACCCCATGTGTTATTTCCGATCAGTCATCACCATAGACTTCTCAGTGCCTCTCAGTAAAAATGGAGAGCAACAGTCACCTGCCTTGGTATCTGGGGTGGGGGAACTCTCACTATGGGGAACATGTAGAAATCAGGGTGCATCTTTTGCTAAGGTTATTTGTCATGCTTGACTCTCCAGGCTTAGACCAGGAATCCAGAAGACCTGAGTTCTGTAAGTAGGAGGCATCAAGCCAGGAATATTGGTCTCTTGCGAGCAAGATGGCACCCCTACCTCCACTGAGGATCTGGAGTTAGATCTCTGTCTAGGTACCCCAGAGTACCTCTTACTCTGTGCTAATGCTAAGAGTTTCACATGAGCCCTAAGTGTAAACAGGTGTCTAGAACCTCCAGACTGCAGTGCACCTCAACCATCCTGGGCATGTGTCCCCACCAGAGCTGCAAAGGAGAGTTCAAGAGACAGGTGTCCTCCACCCATCTAGTCTAAACAATATGATGCCCACCACCATTGACACTACTGGGCTCTGGAGTTCATTACAACATAAGAAGGGCAGTGGCTGGGATCCTAGGCAGTCACCAAATTCTTGTCCTGTCCAGTCTAGAGCTATTCTTCAAAAGCAACCTTTCTGCTCAGAAATCCATGCTCTGCTTCCTGTTAGAGTCAGGCTTCCCGCAGTTCCTGGAAACCTTGAAGGTGGCACCTTCATTGGAAGATGTAGAAAGACTCTGGATTCACTTGATCCTCCACACCCACTGCTGACTTCCTGTATATGTGCCCTCCCAGCAGGTGGCCATCTGAGCTGGGTGGCAGCCTTGAATCCCGAGGTCCTAAGCGGTGTGTCCCTCAGGGTTGCACACAGCACCCTTTGTCTGGTTGCGACAGTGACAGGGCTCCTATTAACCACCCCCAGTGCCCTTTCTCCACCCAACAGGGTCTCCTCAGGAAAGACTGGGGGCTCCTCTGGTTGAAGTCAGGTCTGCCAGCTGCCGAGGACCAAAGCTCTTGCTCTGCTGAGCTGCAGGGCTTTCATGTTGCACTTCTGAAAGATAATAAAATATCAATCGTTTTGCGGTAGCCACAGATTTAAGAGACTTTCTGAAGAATTGAATGGTCCGAATTTTTTTTTTCTTTTTTGCTTTTAAGCACAGTGCATTATTAATAAAGTAATCCATTAGGTTGAGCAGTGAAGGGTCACCACAGAGACAGAAAGATCTGTTTTGCAAACGGTTAAACTTTGGGTTTTAAGATTAATCGCTTTCATTTGGACTCTTGCACTTGGCCTGATCATCTCCACTTTACTGGAACTTAGGGTCTGGGCTTTCTAAACGCTGCTGGGTCTGCCTGTCCATGAAAGGGAGCCGAGAGCTTCAACTTTCCCAGAGAAACAGCCCTTCTACTCCTGGCACCTGCAGCTTGGGCTGGCACCAGGCTGTGGCTTGCTGGTGGACACTTGAAGTCCCAGGGGAGCAAAGGAAGCTATTGCTCTGGACCCTATGAGTTAAATTAGGATTCAGCTGTTGGAGAAGAGGCTTTGAGCAGGGACAGGAAGAACAGTGAGAGTGTGGGGTGTGGGGGCTCTGGGCGGGAGAGGATGGGGTTTGTGGCATGTTCCCAGGTGTACGCTGAAACAGAGCTGATCTGGATATAACTGCCTCTGTAAAGGTCCAGTAGGATGGCTGCATTAACCACAGGAAGAAGCAGACAGAGTATGGAACTAAACACCAGACACAATTCCTAGGGCATTTTTGATAAGTAAAATACGCTTGAGGAAAGTGGAGCTGGGCCGAGGAGGACCAGACAGTGGAGTCTTCAATTGTTAATGACCATTAGGAGCAGAACCTCCGCAGCTGACTGGGTTCATCTGAGAGAGAGAGGCACTTGGCTATGCTCGGGCACTAAACTGGCCCTTGCTAGGTCACCAGCAAAGCCCTCTGGGCTATCCCATCATGCTCTAGACTAGAGAGTCAATCCTGGCGCCTCTCCAGCCCTGGAGATGGAGGCAAGGAATGAACCCTGCTGCTGTTCCATGCCAGAGACCCCAGCCTATTGGCAGGAAGGCAGAGCCCAGTGGGCACTGCTGCTAGCTAAGGGCTAGTAAAGGCCTTGTAAGGCTGGCAGGGTGGTGACCAAACCTGGTCCTGCTTGGCACTCACCAAGTGCCTAGAAGAGGGGTTGTCTCCATCTGTACCTGCTATATTCAGCCCCAGCAGCAGCACCTCCTCACTGCTGGGAATGAGGATCACAAATCTTAAGCAGATGTACAGCCACTTCTTCATCCTGCCCAAACTCAGCCAGGCAGAGTCTGTAAAAATGGAGCTCCCCCACCCTCCCAGAGCTTTGGGTAAAGGGGCAGGTGCTTTTCTCAGTTCCCTGCTCTTCCATTCATTTGCCTACACAGAGCTCTAAGGCAGAGGGTGGGGGGGGGTGGAACAGGGAAACAACATAAATTGGTCTGTCGTCCAGAATCCATGTCTCGCTAATGTACCCAGATTAACTCAACTGTAAATTGTCTCCTTGGATGGCGGTGTCTTGCTAAAAGTTTCCCATATGATTCATGATTTGGATTGCTTTTAACGGCTATTGGCTAAGCAAGCCGGTGACTGTACAAGGTGATGCAATTGGCATTAGCGAGGGGGAGGCACGGGAGCGTGTAATGCAGTCAATACTGCATTAACTACTGATGCCCAATTACAGGGAGCAGGAGAGAGCCTTTCAGGAGCATTAGGACTGGGGGAAGCTGAGATCACTGGCCGCTGCTCTCGCCTAAAAGCTTCACCCTTTGTGTGCCGGGGCTCAGTGCTAGTGTGGCCATTCACTTGGCCTCTGTGGCTATGGGAGCTGCCTTTTTCTTTTGCTGTCTCACTTTGAATGTGTCCCACAAAGATGCTTTTATCACATGGAAATTTGCCTTTTCCTAAAGCTGGGCCTGCCTCTCATCCCTCCTGAGCATGGATTCCTTACTCTCACCCCTCCCCACCCCATCCCAAAGTCAGGCCAGGTGACAGTTGGTCACTTGGCTTCCACATAAGGAGCCTCTTAGCAGGCCCTATTTGTGAGCAGGACCTGGAGAGATTTTATTTTGGTCTCTTATTCTTGGAACAGATTGCCAGTGAGCATTGGCAGCTGACCCTCTGTGGTCATGGGTGAAGGAGACATGAGGTTCAGCCGCAGCCAATTGGGCTGCAGCTCCAGGCTGCCCGAGTTGGGAGATGGCTGTGGTTGGATGGGCCATCTTTGAATAGAAGATGTAGCTGTGGTGGTACAGCTAGAGGAAGCTGAGCTCCTGAGTGACCTGAGCTATGTTGAGGTCCTGAGTAGATATCGGCCCAGAGAGTTAGGGGGCTCCTTTCCAGAGCTGTGCCCCACATAGGGCAGAGCTGCTTCCATGTAACAGTGAGGCCTAGGCTGTTATTTGTATCCATCTCCAAGAGTCAGATGCCTCCCAGAAAGTCCTGATCAGGAGCGTTACGATTGGAAGGGTCTGGGAGTGTTG